GAGAGAGAGAGAGAGAGAGAGAGAGAGAGAGAGAGAGAGAGATAGTTTTGTTATCTCATTAATGGAAACTGAATTGGTTAGGGCTTTAAGTAAATGTAGTCAGTGTTCTCACACTCCATTTCTTGCAGTCCACAGTACTTCATTTTTTCTTTAGGGACTAAAGTTAAATGAAACTCTGTATTAGCTTTTCACTATTGTAACTAAAAGATCCAATCAGTAAAATTATAAGGAGGAAAATTTTATTTGGGTGGGGCTCACAGTTTCAGAGGTCTCAGGCCATAGACAGCAGGCTCTATTCCTCAGGGCTCAAGGTGAGGCAGACCTCATGGTGGAAGACTGTGGCAGTAGGAAGCAGCTCACATGATTTTCAGAAAGCAGAGACTCCACTCACCAGATACAAATATATACCCCAGAGCCACGCCCCTAATGCCCCACCTCCTCCAGCCATACCCTAGCTTCCAATTCCCACCCAATTAATCCCATCAGGTGATCAATTCACTGATTGGATTAAGTCTTTTGTGGCCCTGTCATTTATTCTCTGAATCTTCTTGCAAGGTCTCACATATAAGCTTTTGGGTGATACCTCATATCCAAACTATAACATTCTATCTCTGGCCCCCAAAAGTTTACACTTACCTGACAATGTAAAATATATTTAATCCATTCCCAAGGGTCCCTATAGTCTCAACAATTCCAAGATTGCTCGAAATTTAAGTCCAAAGTCTTCTCTGAGGCTCAAGGCAATCTCACATTGTAAGCTCCTGTAAAATTCAAAGCAATTTACAAATATCCAATATATAATGATACAGAGTAAACATTTCCATTCAGCAAAATAGGGGCATTAGAAAGAAGGGATAAGACCAAAGTGAGACTGAAATTCAGCTGGGCAAATAAATTCTAGTGTTCTGTGTCTGGCATCTAGAGTACATCTTAATGTCCTCTCTAAAGCACTTGGGTATCTCTGCCCCTGTGGCCTTATTAGTTGCAGCCCAAGTAGCCTTTCTATTGGCTTAACTTCACTCAATTCCTGCAGCCTTCCTTAGAGGAAATTCCATAGCACTGGCATTTCTTAAACTTCGGGGTCTCCACTGCAGTTTTGGTTTTCTCCTCACATCTCCATGTATCACCCTCTCAGGGGTTGCCTGCGCGAACTCTGACCCTCCTATACTTTGCCTGGCCTCCCAGGCCCTCTTTGAAATCTTGGTGGAAGCCTCCATGAACCCCTAACTCCAGCTTCCTGCATTCCTGCAGAACCAGCACCATGTATTTTTGATGCCAAAGTCTGCTGCCATCTCAAGCCACAGCCAAGCCTTCTGGGACCCTGGGCCAGAAGCCTCTGAGGGCCTGAGTAGTTGAGAATGTTGAAGAAACTTCCTAGGTCCCCTTGCTCAAGAAGGTTACTCCTTTGGGCTCATGAGAATTTTCACTTTTACTCCCTTGAGCCTGAGGTGGGTGTGATCTTGCCAGTTCCTGAGGTGCCCTCAAGCCATCTTTCTCCTAGTCTCTGGAAAAAGTCTTTAGCATTTCTTTAGAGGTAGTAATGTCTTTAACAACTGCAAATTCCTTAGCCACAGTTTTACTCCTGCCTTTCCAGTCCAAGTTTTAAAATATTTCTGCTCCGCTTTCTTCTCCTGAATATCACAATTAATTTGACTAAAAGGTGTCAGCAATATCCATGCCATGGCCCGAATGCTAAGCTATCTAGAAATTTCTTCTGCCAGATTAAGAAATCCATCACTTTTAAGTCAGCCTCAAAAAAAAAAAAAAAAAAAAGTCTCAGGACACAGGCAAAATACAGACAACTTCTCAGCCAGAACATAACATGAATGGCCTCTAGTCCAATTAACTTTTCCTATAGATCCTCTTTAGCACTGTTTTCACTGTCCACAGTCCTACTGGCATTTTGATTTTCTGAGCTCCCACCAGAATTTGCCATTAAGCTCTGCTTATGACAACCTAAAGCATTTTCAGCTAGCACTGCTAAAAATCTCAAAATTTCTCTCAACAATTCCAAAAGCTCAAAAATCTTTGAACCACAGTCAGGTTAGTCACAGCAACAACACCACTTCTTGGTACCAATTTCTGTATTAGTCAGCTTTTTTGCCACTCTGACTAAAAGACCCAACCAGCACAATTACAAAGCAGGATAAGTTCATTTGGGAGCTAACAGTTTCATAGGTTTCAGTCCATAGAGAGCAGGCTCCATTCCTTGGGGCTCAAGGTGAGGCAGGACATCAGGGTGGAAGAGTATAGTGGAGAGAAGCAGCTCACATGATGATCAAAAAGCAGAGAGAAAGAGAGACTCCACTCTACAGATACAAAATATATACACCAAAGCCATGCCCCTAATGCCCAACCTCCTCCAGCCATACCCCAGCCTTCAGTTACCACTCAATCCCATCAGGTGATTAATTCACTGATTGGGTTAAGGCTCTCATAACCCAATCATTTCTTCTCTGAATCTTGCATTGTCTCACACATGAGCTTTTGGGGGACACCTCACATCCAAACCATAACAAACTCCCAGCTTATAAAAGGTTTTATAAAGTTTGACTATAGAATAATGAAGTTAAATCCCAAGAGGGGCTATGGAATATATAAAATTAACCACTGCTGGACCTTGAAGAAAGATTTCATCTCCTAAATCCTCATCTATTTCCCCTCCACTTATTACTTATTCCTTCTTGAGTTGTATTCCGCAACAGACTTTCAATCCAGATACTATGGACTCAGATTACTAACAGCTTCCCCAACTGTTGTTAGTCCACATAATCTTGACAAATTTTCTTTCAAAATTGCTTTCACATAATTCTCCTGCTCAATTGTCCACAATGGTTTCCTAGTTCCGAATGCATTTAGATATTGTATATCTAAACTCTTCTGTCTAGCTTTAAGGCTAAAATTTGGCTCCATTCTTCCATCCATCATTGTCACCTTCACTAGGATAAGTATGAAATTCCTTTGCTCTTAGGATAGAGGTAAAGAAACAAGGGGAAAAAAAACAGACACTGAAATCCCTAACAGCAAAAGTTTATTTACAGTTGAAGTTAAGGAATATTTTAATGCATGCTGAGGAAAACAGTAATATTTCAAACTTATAGGTTACTATCTAATACGGAATACAAGAGGATGCTGGGAAAGGCTTTGGCATACACAACTATTGGAACCAGGTTATATGACACTTAAACACTATTAGAACCAGGTTATCAGAACACTTACATATATACTACTTTTATGTCACATCAACTTCATAGACAGTTCACCTAACTCCTCACTGGCTATTTGAGTAAATAGCATTCAAGGTTAAACATTAAGACTGGGGAATAGAGAAGGAATACAGAAGTGGTACACATTACAACATTTCGGGGCCTACACATATTAATACAACACTAAGATTAATTAATAAACAGTGTTTTAATTTTTGTGTGAAATAGTATTCAGCAATGTTTAGCGCATGAGAAGACACTGCTTTGGTCCGTCCACTCTTTCCAGCTTTTCAAAATGTTTCCTGGCATTGCGGATGTTGATCAGAGTAGCTGCAGAAGCTGAGGGTAGGAGTGGGGAGATACACAACAGAATAAATATGGGGAGCCAAAGGAGTGTTTAACTAGTAAACACTAGTAAAAACAAAACAGACAAAAGAGAGCCAAATCCTTCAACGTACGTCACAGAGAACATAGGAAAAGGAACTTCCAAGTTATCAAGGTTTAATTTTTCTGAAGATTGGCTCATATTCTAAACACAAAATTTCTAAAATTTTGGTTTGGGACTAAAGAATAAAACCCATTATTTTATGTTTTAATATTAGCCTAATGTAGGAAAAGCCAGTAGGTAATAGATAATTTAAAGTTCTAGAAATATTGCAGAAAGCTTTATCTCAATGTTTGAAATAGATAAGGCTATTACACTTCCCTTCATGCCCATAACAGAAAGATGGGAATGTAGCACATAGTAATATACAATGACATAAAATTGTCCAGCATTTGAAAGTTTAGAGGTTATGTGGACCATCCTTTGAAAAATTTATAACATAACTCTAAAGTCTCTAAAGAAAGAAATTTAAGAAGACCTTAGAATGTGGAAGGACTTCCCATGTTCTTGGATAGGCAGAATATTGTCAAAATGGCCATACTACTGAAAGAACTATACAGATTCAATTCCCATCAAAATTTCAATGACATTCTTCATGGAAATAGAAAAAGCAGTCATGAAATTCTTTTGGAAAAATAAGAAGCCCAGAATAGCCAAAGCAACTCTTAGCAAGAAAAGCAAATTAGGAGGCATCATAATACCCGACCTAAAATTATTCTATAGAGATATAGTAACAAAAACAATATGGTATTCGTACCAAAACAGACATGAAGACCATAATGGAACAGAATAGAAGATGCAGAAACAAATCCCCCAAAATTCAATTACCTCATACCAGACAAAGGCACCAAAAACATACATTGGAGAAACAATAGCCTATTCAACAAATGGTGCTGGGAAAACTGGAAATTCATACATAGTAGAATAAAATTTAACCCCTATCTCTCACCCTGTACAAAACTCACCTCAAAGTGGATCAAGAACCTAGACCAGAGACCCTGCACATAATAGAAAAAATATAGGCCCAACACTCCAACTTATCAACTCAGGAACTGACTTCTTTAACAAGACTCGTAAAGCACAGAAGTAAAACCAATAATCTAAATGGGATGGCATCAAACAAAAAAGCTTCTTTATAACAAAGGAAACAAATGAGAGCCTACAGAATGGGAGAAACTCTTTGCCCCTGTACCTCAGTTAGAACATTAATTTCCTGGATATATAAACAACTCAAAAAACTTAACATAAAAAAAACCCAATCAGTAAATAGGCAAAGGAACCAAACAGACACTTTACAGAAGAAATATGAATGGTCAACAAATATATGAAAAATGTGCAACATCACTAGTAATTAGAGAAATGCAAATTAAAACTACACTGAGATTTCATCTCATTCCAGTCAGAATGGCAACTATCAAGAATACAAGTAAAAATAAATGTTGCTGAGGATATGGATGAACATTGCTGGTAAGACTGAAAATTTGTGCAACCACTCTGGAAGGCAATATGGAGATTCCTCAGAAAACTTGGAATGAAACCACCATTTGACCCATTCCTCATTACACATTCAAAGAATTTAAAATCAGCATACTACACTGATACAGCCACATCACTATTTATAGCAGCTCAATTCACAATAGCTAAGCTACAGAGCCAGCCTTGTTGCCCTATAACAGATGAATGAATAAAGAAGATGTAGTATATATACACAATGGAATATTACTCGGCCATAAAGAAGAATTACTTTATGACATTTGCCCAAAACTGGATGGATCTGGAGACTCTCATGCTAAATTCAATTAGCCAGTTCCACAAAGCTAAAGGTTGAATGTTTTCTCTGGTATGTGGAAGCTAACCCACAATAATGGGGGGAAGTGAGGGGAAGAAAAGAATTTCAGTAGATTAGACAATGAAGAATGGAGGGAAGGGAGGAGGGATAGAAAAAGGAAAGGAATGAATCTGACATAATTTTCCCATGTACATATATGAAAATAACACAGTGAATATCACCATCATGTACATCAGTAAGAATGAGATCCTAACTAGAATAAGATATATTCCATGCTTATATAATTATGTCAAAATGGATTCTGCTATCATGTATAACTAAAAAGAACCAATAAATAAATAAAATCTATATATATGAAGCATAAATCATGGACTTCAGTTCTCTTTAAAATTCCTTGATTTAGTCACTTGTTTTCTGAAGTTCCCATGAAGAAAAACACAATACCCTAGAGGCAAAATTGTTTTTCAGCTTCAAAATGTGTCTACCACTGTTACTTGTTTTTTTTTTCAGTGTGTTAAAATATAGATGACATGAAATTTACAATGTTAACCATTTTTTTTTGGCGGGGGTACCAGGGACTGAATTTAGGGGCACTCAACCACTGAGCCACATCCAGCCCTCTTTTGTATTTTATTTAGATACAGGGTCTCACTGAATTGCTTAGCACCTTGCTTTTGCTGAGGCTGGTTTTGAACTCAGGATCCTGCCCCAGCCTCCCAAGCCACTGGGATTTCAGGTATGTGCCAACATATCAGCCACATTAACCATTTTAAGTGTATGGTTGAATGCAATTAAGAACTTTCATATTGTTGTATGACCAACCCCACTGTAAAATAATTTTAAAATATCTTATACAATAATACCTCTAGGGCAATTGTTTAGAGAATATGTAGATTTGAAATGATGTCATCTTAAGTTTAAACTTACGAATGGATGGATCAGACATCACAACCATCACATAAGTGTTAGATGTAAAGATGTCAATGAAAGCAGCAAAGTTAGAGTTTCTGACTTCCATACTCTGGAAAGAGGCAGCCAGCTTGCTACAGAAGAAAGGAATAAAATAATAACAATATAAGAAGTTTATATCTTTTAGGTTAAACATTTTTATAGTATTAATATACCTTAATTTATCCCTTGAGAGTTTATAAGGAAAGTCTAAAATTGAATTTAACATGTTTCAGAGTGACTGAAATGAAAATTAGGCTAGGACTTCATATTGACTGAGAAATGAAAATAGGTTTAGACCTAGATCTATGTTGAAAAATCATGTTACAAATGACTTCTTTAATATTTAAGAAGCATCCTTATTTGGAATTTCCCTATCTTGGCAATTAATACTTATATCTGTTTGATGTTACATTTATATTCAAGAAATTACCCCATTTCTTTGAAAACAAACAAGGCAACTATATTTGCTTGTTATTTGCTATTTCTTGTTCAAAATGTTAGCGTAAACACTCTAGAAAGTCTCAAAGTATACTAAGATGTAAAGTGGGCAAATTGATCCCCACTCTCCAAGCATCAAGTTTTTATCAGGTAAGAATTTGATTTTTAAATCTTTACTTATTTATGATATTTAGCCATTCATTTTCCCTCTATTTGTAATACCCAAGACTCAAATCTTATTCAATCAAACCAGATACATCATAATTTGACATTTCTAAACTCTCTTCTGTTATCATTTCTGAATCAGTATCTATTTTACTTACTATTGTTTTATAGTCAATTCTGTTATTTAGTACGGCAAATTCTTTCTTTCTTTTCAAAACTCTCTTGGATATTCTCAGTTTATTTCTTCCCAAATAATACTAAACACGTTGAAAGGGTATTTTGCTTGAATATTTCTCAGATGCTTCTGGATTAGTTGAGTTTGCATGAAAGGACAAGGATCTGTATTTTAGTCAACTGTAAGCTCCCTTAGAGTTCAATTTTCTTTTTGATTAAAGCAACCATTGTGAACATAGAAGTTTAGTCAACAACTATAGTTATTTGTATTTCTCAAAAATGATAATTTTCCCAGAAATTAATGTATCATTCCTATAAGATCGCTTACCTGCAGCTCAGCTTGAATTGCTTAATAATGTTGCTGATTTTCTCAAATCTATGAGCATCACGCTGCTCTTTACACTGATAATGAGAAATCACCTGTGAAAATGAACATTGTTCTTTGAATCCATGCAAAATATTCATATAACCCACTGCTGCTACTTGAAGTAGACATCTGTTAGTTTCTTGACCACCTGGTTTACCATCTTCTCCTGTCTGTATCATATCTTTGTTAAGATTGCATGTGATTTCAATATCCATCCAGATGGTCTATTCAGTATTGTTTGGTTATAACTTTATTAGATCATTTAAGTATTCTACATATATTCTTTGACTTATCATAGTTCAACTTTTGACTTTACATTGGTGTTAAAGTGATAGGAATTCAGTAGAAACAATATCTCAAATTTTCCCATACTAAGGATATGTGATACTGACAAACTCTTGTGAGGCTGGGCAGCAGCAGAGAGCCATAACTCGAAGTTAACCATGAGATACATTATAAGGGTAAACAACAGATACTTTTCAGTGTTACTTGTGTTGCTAGGCTATGATGTTTGGTACGTTAGGTACATTAAATGCATTTTCAACTTATGGTGGGTTTATCAGGACACAAACCCATCCCAAGTCAAGGAGCATCTGTATTTTGGTTTACTGATATTCATTCTCAATTTTTAATTTAATTTTTAATTATCAACATTTAATCATTAAATATTCACCTTATTTCAATGTTTCACAGGATGATTTTTGATTTTAAAAACATACAAAACAAGGAAAATAAAATACATAACAACTCTTGAGGTTTAATTACTATATTTAAATTTAATGAAGTCTATAATCAAGTAGCTTTGGGAATTATATTTTAAAAGCTTAACTAGATAATTCTAACCATTGAGAACTATTTTTAAATGAATCTATTCAGGATAAACACCAACACCAGCTGAAAATACTTTTCCTAACAGTTTGAGATTTTAGTAAATCATACAAGTATCCTACAGGCCAAATGCAAAGTTTATAATAGGAAGCAAAACTGAGTCAATTGCCAAAATAAAATTCTCAGGGAAATACCCTGAGGTAACACGAAACTTTCAACATTTAATTTATATATAAAGAGCAGGACAGATCCACATGCTTGACTTACTCCCCTCAGTAAAAATGGTCAATTACATTTAAACTTTTTTTTAACTGTTGATGGACCTTTATTTGTTTATATGTGGTGATGAGAACCGAACCCAGTGCCTCATACATGCTAAGCAAGTGCTCTAGCACTGAGCCACATTCCCAGCCCAAACACATTTAAACTTGGTCATCAAGAGAAACAAAAGCTACCTATTACTGTCAGTGAATAATAGAGAGCTTACTAACATTATCTTCTAAGACCTTGTGTAGTAGATATAGCATGGTAATACTGCTGTAGCAGAGTCCTGTTGTGCCATGCACACTGAGACAGATGGAATAGGTTACTTGCTTGTTGCCATTCACACTAGCAGGAAAAAAAAACTGGTTTGGAGAAGTAATTTCAGGCACATAACACATGCCACTGGACTGAGGCAGAAAGTCACTCTAGTTACGACTCCTTGCCTCAGCTATATCAGCTAGCAGGAAGAATGGCTCCACAGTGCTGCTATGGCTATAAGTAATATTTCTACAAAGGAAAAGAGGAATTGTACTTTATATTTTCTGCCCTCAGTTGACACAGCAGCAAAGGGAACCAACATTTAATAGTTCACCTATGTCAAAGCTTGTGATAGATGCTTAATGTTACTATGCCCCATTTTAATGAACATGATAAACCTATGATACAGATAGTATTATCTCCATTTTAAAAAAGGGGAAACAAGCTCAGAGAGATTAAGAAATGTCTAAAATTACCAAGCAGTGGTAGAACTCAGAAACAAATTATTTACTGGGAGCTGCTCTTAAGAGTTACATTTCCTAAGCTAGTTAAAAATTACTTTTTTATGCAGTGTGTTGGGACATCATTTTCTATCACTGGTATTTAAACATTTTATTTATAAAGATAATACTAGCTTTTGCATCCTCTATTCAGGGCTATACAAAAAAACAATAGGGTCTAATATAGTTGCTAAGTTCAATTTATACAAAAAGTAACAGTATCAACATGCATCTTTTCCCCTTTAATTCTCCATCTGCTCTTAGCTATATCACTGAGTTGACCCTTACTTCTCTTCCAGTTTTCACCTTAGCCTTTTGGAGAAAAGGGAGGGAAGAGAGTTATCTCAAAAGGACAATACAATAAATTTCATAATAAAATTCAAGAGAAAATAGGAATATTTCATCCCAAATAAATAGTTATTAGCAGAAATAATCTAAACCCTCTAATAGGGTATACCTGCAAAAACCTATGGTTTACTAGTTACAAAGGAGCTAAACACCAAAGGACTTCTTTCAGATCACTTGTCAACAATATTACTTTATAAATAGGGCTGAGTATGCTGAAGTAATGAGACAAGAGAAAAAGGTTCTTCCTAAAAGGGAAACATGCTATTCTGTGTTCCTGAATAGAAGGTACTGTGTGAAATACATCTTCAGAACAAAAAGTTCTTACCAGAAAAGTAGCTCTCTCAAACAGAAGTACTTCATCAGCCTCAATAATTTCAGCAAAATTCCTTAAGTTCATTTCCAGCTGCTGAACATTGGGAATCAGTTGATAAACAATGCTGGACCAAGCCTAACAGAACAGAAGCATAATGTAATATTACTAACAGTTAGCCAGTCCCAGACCTTTGAAAAGAGTAAATAAACTATAAACCATCACATATAAACAGCAAAACATGATGACAATTGAATCCCAAACAAATACTGACATTAAATATAACACAAATGAAATGAGAAAATGAAGCTATATTTGATTTTTATCCTTGAATTGAATAGTTTTAAGTTCAAACACTTTTTTTAAATGCTGGAGAAACTTCTTTCCATTGATAATTAAAATTAAACAGGTGATTTAATGCCATTATGTTGCTTTAGGGAAAAAAAGTAGCAAAATATGACCTACTGTGTTAAAAAGCTTCTAATCTAGACCTTCGACAAATATTTAAATCCAACAGTGCAAATTTCTTTAAAGAACCTAATAATGCTATATAAAACATATGTCCAAGAATCAATTTTGTGAAAATATCAGAGCCACATGGACAAATGGCTCCTCCCCTCAGTGGTGTAATATACCATTATAAGAGAACCAGTGGTATTATCATTCCCAAAGGTTGTTGTCATGTGTAAAAATTATTGATCCAACAGAATTTCAAAAGGTCCGTTGTGTTTGCCTAAAACTGACTTCATCCAGAGGAGTATGACTAATGTAAGCAGTTGAAATTATCCACACCCTCCCTCTAGTCTCTTAAGGCCCTTTTATTTGTATTTCCATTATAATACTTCCTTTACTTTCACTCCAATTTGTCTGGTTAGGTGTATTTTCTTCTTCTCTCCCCTACTAGACGGCAGGAATCTGATCTTAGTCATCTGGGTATGCAACAGCATCAAGTAGATAGGCAATGAGCGCTTGTTGAATAAAACTTAATATAAAAATTTAAGTCAGTTCTATGCAACATTGATGTAAGAGATAGTAGTGCCATGTCTCTGATCCATTTAGTTTTATTACTTAGGCATAGGGGTTCAGGTTCCAAATTCCCAGGTCGGTGTTAATGTCACTGCTGAATTTACCTTGGAGAAGGCACCAAAGCTAACCACAGCAGAGACATTGTCACTCACAGCAGTGTTGTGATTAGCCAATTGTCTTTGGTCGTGTTATGTATTGCCATCCTTCACACCGCAGTTGGTTCTTATCAGTGCGTCATGTCCATCCTTATTCACGGTTACCTGTTCTATGGGAATAAGGCTTTGAGAGAAATTCGGCCCATATTAATCTAGAACAGTACTTCCTAGACAGGTATCTCAAAATGATGTTATTAGAGTGAGGCTGGGTCAACATAATATTGGGGAAAAAAGTGAATTAGTTTAAAAAAATGGCTATTTTTAAAGTCCAATGGCTTTTCTCCTTGGCAAGTCAGGTTTCTGTGCTTCTGGTTGTAGACACTTGTCAGATGCAGTTGATACTGAGGCTCTAGCTATCAATGACAGAGAAGGATCCTTTGCCACTCAGAGTCAGACTTGTCAATGGATACCAGAAGCAGTCTGAAGGAAAGGTCAGACCACAGGAGGATCCAAAAGGAGACAGTCCTTAAATCACTCAGTAGAAAAATGGGAGGAAGCAGGAGCCTATGTGCCAATAGGTAATTTCAGCTTCATCCGTAAAGAATTATTGTTATAATCTCTATAATTACTTCAAGCAGTGTGGTATCCATTCCAGCAAGGGGAACAATCCTGGTTGGAAGAATGTTGGTCTCCAATCTGGCATGAAAGTTGAAGCTACTATACTCTAGGAATAATATGTCTCATCCTAAGATTCCCTTCTCCAGTCTCTCCACTAAGTATTTTTCTTCTACTACTACCCAAACTTAGGTAGACTAGTTTATATCATATAGAGGTACCTGTATACAAGATACAACTCCAGTTAGAATTGAGACCATGACAGTTCAAAATATATGATGGCCAGTGAGTAAAGTTTCTGCTTTCACAAAGTCAGTATCAAATTAATCATACCCAAACTGGCTAATTCAATATGATTTGGTAACAATGTCGACCCAATGTAGGATTAAAACCAAAATCTGTTAAGTTTGGTAGTCTTCAATTTGTTGCAGATTATTTCATTTTTTAGTACAACAAATCAAGACGGCTATGAAATTGTTTAAAATATTTCAATTTTGTTAATATTCTTCTAGCTCTTTTTCATGCTCTTAAAATGAGAGAACCCAGGAAACATACACACCTTATAGAGAGTTTCATCCCAGATAGATGTTCGGAAACAAGAACATTCCAATGGGCGAGACAAACGCCTCAGATCTTCTTCTCGCTCTTTAAAAATCTGAATTAAACAGTCCAACATACTGATCAGCATATAACAGTTCTCCTCTTTGATTGCAAAATCTAAGATATAATTATTTCAACATGTTTTAATCAAAAGCTTTTGCTCCTTAAGAGGAATTTGGAATATGTACCTTATTTCACAAACTAGAATGGCAGAAATTATCTCAGGACAAGTGTAAAAGTGCTACTGGTTACTAGAATTATTTAGACTTATACTGTGTGTGCTCTATACACGTTGAGAGCACTGTATTAGAAAATAAAATTTATTATATAGAGGAATCTTAAAAAATATCTAACACTCCAAATCATTAAATCTGGGCATTTCAAGAGTTATACCCATATCAAGATTTTGTAAATCAAAATATTTAACCTTTTGATATACATTTCTCTCAAATGTCTATTCATATGTATTATTTACATATGTATGCACTGTATGTATTTCAACATATAGATATAACCCCCCCACAAACATCTACCAATCTTGGATATATTTCTATGTATATATGCCCATATGTACATTGGAAAAAATTGTTATACCATTTTTCCATGAGTGGATGAATTGGGAGCAAGTGTATGATGGTTAATTTTTGTGTCAACGTTACTAGGCTGCAGTACCCAGGTATTTGGTCAAACGTCAATCCAGATGTTGTTGTGATGATATTTTTTAAGAGGTTAAGTTTTAAATAAGTTGACTTTGAGTAGAGCAAATTGCCCTCCATAATGTAAAAGAAAAAGTTTCACTACTGAGAAAAATGGAGCTCTACCTACAGAATGCCTTCAAMAATCTTAAGTACAACATCAGCTTTTCCAAGGACAGTCTCTAAAATCGAGTGAGCTAACTCCTTAAAATAAATCACTCTTCTTTCTTCCCTTTACTCAAATATCTCTACTTCCATAACCCTTCCCACCAACACACATCCTATTGGTCCTGTAATTCCGGAGAACCAAAATTCAGATTTTAGCACTGATAGGTTCTAGAAGAGAATTTTAAGGATGAGTCTTCTCAATTGGTTTTTGAGGTTTCTGGAATCATTTCTTTAATATGATTAGAGTTAAAGGTGTTAATAACTCTATTTCCAGTAGTAAAGATAGCAGTGAATAGTTCACAGTGATATATAAAATACTACCACTGAATACTTCTAATCAAATATGTACAAGGGTGACCATGTATATAATTTTGAATATTTTTTGTCAAAACAATGAGTGTGTAATGAGATTGGCTGACTTATACTAATTGTGCTGGACCAAATAGAGAAAGAAAAAAAAAAACGAGCTCAGAAATTTCAATCCCCAGTTTAAGCACCATATAAATAACCCCAAATTATCTATATTCACCCTAGAAGAAACCCATACCCTCTATAGATGCAGAACTGAGATTGCTGAAAACTAAACTTGGAATCTCATCCTGTGAGTGGATAAATCACAATGCATATTTAATTCCCAATTAAACAGAGTATTTTCTGTTGGAGTGCTGACTGAAAGAATAGGATTCTAGAAATTGGAATAAGAGTCATATGGGAAGATCTCAATGAAGACTAGGACACTGAACTCCTAACTTCTCATGAGTCTTTGCAAATAGAAGCAGCCACTACATTGAGATTTAAAATTAACCCTACTTTGCCTCAGGGGAAGGTAATGATATCCCCTGAGGTAGCTGTCTTAAAACAGACCTGATTTACCATCACCATCTCTCTTAGGTTTCTAATGGTTTGGTTGCTTGGCTGAAATATGAACCCCAAATGGCCTATGCTAAGTGAAGCTGAAATACCTGACCTGCATTAGTATATAAGGGAAGGTATCCAAAGGCTTAGGGAGACTGGAATGTTCAAATGGATTTGTCATTTAAGACCTACTTACCAATCTTGGGAAGTGCCAGAAGAGACCTTTCACCATAACTGTGAGAAATAAATTTGTGAGAGGAGCCCAGCTTCCTTCCCTGCTCTGATCACTCTTCTCTGTAGGCCAGACCTGACAGTGGGAACTGCTGCCACTGAATTTGGGAACCTAAATGCAATGATGGCAGTTGGATCCTGAAGTGGTAGGAGCAAGGTGGAGACACTCACCAAATGCAAGGTAGGTCTAATCTGACAGAGTAGGTCTCTGACTGAGACCTATGGTGTTTGCTAGTTGATCATGGTGGTCCTTAGAAGTGAAATAGATGGGATATCGACTAAATTCCCACTTCTTCTATATAAGTAGAAGAGTCTAAGTCAAGTGGTCCAAAATCTAACTTGAACCATAAGAACAGAGTCAGGACCCCTCAATAGACTTGTATTAGTTTACAGACCTAGAGCATCTTGAATAAAAAGAAGGGTGGGTCCAGGTAAGGAAGGACCCCACTATACTGCCCAAAGTTTATACTATTATTTTTCCTCCCTGCCTCCTCCAAATGAACCTAAGACCTTTTATGAGGGTAACTGTGCTTTGGGGAAAAGGAAAGGATCCAACCTTTGGGAGACGACTGAGCACTGGCTCTGAAATTCCAGGAGTCACAAAATATTACTATAATCCACTAGTCAAGAGTAGGAAAGTCAGTAGTTGTAGTGGTCAACTTGATAGGATTAAGAGATGATGAGGATTAAGGAGTTTATGGGTATGTCAGAGAATGATTGACATGTGAGAGAGCCAACCAAAACGGAGACCCTCCCTAAGCATGGGCAGCACCAACCAATAGGATGATGGCTTGGATGGAATAAAAGTTGGAAGAACAAGGAAGCAGCAGCAGATGCAAGCTCAATTCTTCTGGAACGGGTTTTTTTGACTGCTGCTGTGATCATCTGAGGATATGGGACTCTAGCTTCTTCACTCTTCCAAAGTGGACTCTGCCAGTGATTCTCCAGAAGCCTTCAGTCTTAGACTAGGATTACACTATTGATCCCTCCTATTCTAGGCTTTGGCCTCTTGGACTGTGCAGCTACTGGTTCTTCCAGCTCTCCAGACTGCAGATGGCCACTGTGGAGTATCCAGCTTCTGGTCACATGAGCCAACTTAATAAATCCCTTTTTATAATCATACTACCTGGTTCTTCATGCCAGTAGCATATGCTTGACTCAAAGATCAAGCCATTCATGCCTAAGTACATGTGGCTGGTATAGCAATTCTGTACAGCATTGCTTTGGACCAAGGAACTCACTTCACAGCCAAAGAAGTGAGGCAATGGGCTCATGCTCATGGGATTCACTGGTCTTACCATATTCCCCACCATCCTGAAGCAGCTAGTTTCAAAGAATGATGGAACAGACTCTTGAAGTTGTAGTTACAGCACCAGTTAGGTGGTAATACATTGCAGGCTAGGGCAAGGTTCTTCAGAACCTTCAGAACACTCTGAATCAGCATCCAATATGTTACTATCTCTCCTATTGCTAGAATTCACAGGTCCAGGAATCAAGGGGTGAGACAGGAATGGTACTACTCATTCATCATTACTCCTAATAACCCACAAGGAAAGCTTTTGCTTCTTCCCTGCAACCTTATGTTGTATAGGCTTAGAAGTCTTACTTTCAGAAGAAATGCTTCTGCCTGGAGATACAACAATGATTTCATTAAACTGGAAGTTAAGACTTCACCATGGACACTTGGGCTCCTCATGCCTCTGAGTCAACAGACTATGAAAGGAGTTATGGTACTGGTGGGGATGATTGATCCAGATTATCAAGGGGACATTGGACTGTTACTCCACAATGGAGATAAGGAAGCATACTCCTGGAGTACAAGAGATCCCTTAGGGTGTCTCTTGGTATTACTCTGTCCCCTTATTAAGATCAATGGGAAACTACAACAACCCAATCCAGACAAGATGACAAATGTCTTAGACCCTTTAGGAATGAAGGTGTGGGTCACTCCTCTAGGTAAAGAACCAAGACCGCTGAGGTAGTTGTTGAAGGTAGAGGAAATACAGAATGGGTAGTAGAAGAATGTAGTCATAAATACCAACTATGGCCACATGACCAGTTACAGAAATGAGGATTGTAATTGCCATTGATAATTCTTCCCTATTCCACTAAGAATATGTTTGGGCATACTTAACAAATGCATTAAGAGGAAATAATTGTTACTCTCCTGTTATTCATTCTGTAAAGTAATACTGATTGACTTAACATTAGTAGTGTTTTTGTTTATTCTTCTATTCTGGGGAAAGAACTAGTGTATTCGGTTGTAGGAAGGATAGTTATGTTAGGTAGAATTATAACCTTGTTGTGTTTATTTGGAGATTAAGTGAGATGTAAAGAGTCATATTTGGATATCAAGTTGACGAGGGGGTGGATATTTGGATTAAGAGATGCTAAAGATTAAGGGATTTATGGGTGTGTCAGTGAGGATGTGTCTAGGAAGGATTGACATGTGGTATAGCCAACTGAAATGGAGACCGTCCCTAAATGTGGGCAGCACCAACCAATAGGATGATGGCTTGGATGGAATAAAAGTTGGAAGAACAAGGAAGCAGCAGCAGATGCAAGCTCAATTCTTCTGAAACGGGTTCTTGACTGCTGCTATGATCATCTGAGGATATGGGACTCTATTTTCTTCACTCTTCCAAAGTGGACTCTGTCAGTAATTGTTCTGGGGCTCAGCCTGTGGACTGTGCAGCTACTGGTTCTTCCAGCTCTCCAGCCTGCAGATGGCCATTGTGGACTATCCAGCTTCTGGTGGCATAAGATAACCTAATAAATCCTTTTTTATAATTATACTTCCGGTTGATTCTGTTCCTATAGAGAATGCTAATACAGTGGTCAATAAAGTTTTAGTTCAGTGGGCCCATGGTTCCCCAAACCATACTGTGGTTATATCCCAATTCCAGAGTACATATTTGGAACAGACATACTCAGCAACTGACTGAATCTCCACATTGGTTCCCTTATCTGTGGTGTGATGGCTAATATGGCAGGAAAAGTCAAGTGAAAACCACTAGAACTGCTTTTTCCTAGGAAAATAATAAACCAAATGCAATATTGAATTCCTGAAGGGATTGTGGAAATTATTGCCACCATAAAAGATTTA